ATCAATCTCTCATAGCTTTCAAGAGAGTTTATGCGCTCTGAGCCTTCTCCATCTCATTTATTTACCTTTCGCATAGCCTTCAAATGTCAAACCATGTTAACTTACCCCGCTAATAGGAAGTCAGGAGCCCCCGATATCTATAGGAGTCTGCGCGTCACGTCTGAGCTCTTTGTGCATGTTGTTTCAACTCATTGTCCCCAAAACCCAGCCTACTCGCTCAGAAGGAACCGTCAAAATCAGTCAAAGGCAATCCAAGCCATCCATTACATACTTGGAAAAGCACTCCCTCTTTAAATTGTGCCATGTTTAACTGTTCATTGTTGCATGCGATTAAACTTCTCCTTCCACTTTAGCTTCGCACTTTATTATTTATAGACTGTCTCAGTTTCTCATCAGTTGAAATAATTGTTGTTGTCTTTTCTTATTTTAATAGTGTAAAACATTTCCATTACAGTGAGTTAAATCTATAATGAATTAATTCCCTGCCTTTGTAATAATATATATATTAGGAATCCATATTATGCAGAAAAGGACGTTGCTTTGTGTCCATTTTGAGATTCCTAGAAGTTTATAAAAGCTGTCGAAAACAGAGACATCAATTCAACCTTTTAATCGTTTTCAACCTTAAAGTGGTGCAAAATTCTACCTCTAGTTTTGAATGTTATCAGCTCACTAAAAAAAACCATTACAAGTCGTTACCAGTCTCACACATGCTGCCAGGCTCCTCCTTCTTTTTGTAGCTGTATGTAGCCTCATTCGATCCCTTCAGATTAAGCGCAACAAAACATAGTGTGAGCTTGACACATCAACCGGCTTGCTTTTTCCTTTCCTAGTGGTTGTCTTCAGGTTTGTTTTCAGGCACCAAAAATATGGATGGCTATTTGTTAGGAGGTAGAATCGGTTGTTTGCTGATGAGTAGTTGGGTAGTTTGATCCCTGAACCCCAATTCGCCCCCGATGCATATTTACTGTGTGGAAGATAAACTGCATTTAATAATGTGCTCTATGAATGTACGTATAATGTAAAAAGGGCTCTTGAGTATCCTTTTCCTTGATCACCAAGACATTTATTTACCTTTGGAAATCTTACATGCACTTCTTCAAACTACCACTAGAGGTCTCCTGCACAAGCTGGAGTGCCTACAATGTTTGAAAACCATCTTCTGAGTTGCTATTAGACGAAGAATTGCACCTACTGGCCGTTCATTGAGCTGATAACATCAGAACTGGGCGACTGGATTGTGTTTCCTGTCAGCAAGTGTGGACACACACATCACCTGTCGGTGTAAAACAACGCTCGACTGAACAGCACGACAAACTGAAGCCTCCAGACTGATCCTACAGCTGAATCAACAATTCAGCTTAAATTAGTCTTAGATGGTACTTATAACACCGGCAGAGCATATACACTCTAGAACACGCATATACATAGTAAACTGTGACTAAATTCAGAGTAAATTGAGACTATTTGGAAAACAAAGACGAATCTGGCATTTTGTGACAAATACTCGAGACTCATAAGTTAGGCTAACTCAGACTCCTTCTGTTAAAATAAAACATGGGATCATCCAGCCTTATACGGTGTCAACATCAGCCCCTGATTAATCTAATCTCCTATTTTCTTCCCACTGTCAGTCTGTATCTGTCTCTGCTCTTCACTACAGTCGACAGATGTGTTTGTTCACTGTTTAAACAGACACTGCTGTGTTTTCGCTCATGCTCTACTTAAGCTCTCGTCTAAATGCGCTTGAACGCTTCTGTATTTCCGACGGGGGGTCGGAGGGGGTGTGTGTGCACGCATGCAGCAAGCGCAGGATAATACACAAGTGTCCCTCTAGTTTCGTGTAGGAAAAGGAAAAAAGAAAAAAGGTAGGAAATAGAAAAATCAGTGTTGATGGAAAACTGCACGAGGGGAACCTGAGTGCTAAATGAGTCTTTATAAAAGGAGTGAATAATGTAAAGCACAAATAAAGCACAACGAAGGCGACCCACTTTTCTCCGTGTGTGTCTTTAGAGGTTCGACAGCGAATTACCCGTCCCGCTCATATCCACTTTCATTACGGCCTAACATTCAGAGAGCAAGGGTGTGTGTGTGTGTACAAATGTGTGCCGGCGTGTACCTGAATGTCACGCCGTAATGAGAATGGATATGACAGTGACAGGGCCATCAACGAATGGGGCTCCTGGTTCTTCCTCGTGACATGTGGCGCGTACGTGACAGGGAATACACTCACACAGACACATGAACACACTCATCACGTGCACACAATCTTTCTCTATCTAAGACAGTGGGGTGCAATAGAGCCAAGACAATAACCAAACTCTATTTACCAGACCTCATTCCCTCATTCGGACTCGAAGTAATTACTTTTAAATTGCAAAACTGAGGAACATTAACAAACGGATGCGGTAATTTAGGTCCGCCTGGGGCTAGACAGCTTGTTTTCAAATGGAAATGAAGGTATTTTGCCATTGTCCACTGTAATATTATTGTGTTATGGTTTAAAGCTTCTTTTTTCCCCTTTTCCTGTGTGCATGATAAAAGCAAAGGGGCACTGGTAGTGTTTACCGGCCCCACTGTGGCAGACAACTTGCTCGGAGCGAGGATAATTCTAGCCTAATGCTAACGCCGACGGAGAGGAGCGTCGCTCCTTCGACTCCGCTGACAGACACCGCTGCTGCTCGGCCACATAAATCAACACAGACACTGATATTCACAGTGTGGCAACACAAACAGAAAAACCACACATACTCACAGATAGACAGACAGAGGGAGGAGCATGCGTTTTCCCCACGTCAGGGTCACAGCACATCAATAGCAGCCATGATTATCATGATCAGCTCTAATGAGGGGGCTACGGGGGTGAATGCCACTCGTTCTCTTTTTCCCTTAACACAGCCTGTTATTACCGCTTTTTTTGTCTCTTTCTCTCTGACTCGCAGGGGTACACACACTCTGTGCTCGTCTTATACCATGTAATTCTCTTCCCAATCACACTCCTGTCCTCCTGCCCTGTCACCAGGCCTGACAATGCTGACAAGGGCGCCCCAAAAACCCGGGTGAGGCGGGGGAGGGGGGGGACACAAAAGAGCTGCGACTAGGTCCCCATTATGGCACCGCTGGGGTCACTGTGCAACTGATGAGCTCTGTAACACCACCTGCCAATTTGCAGCTGTTGTGTCAAGGGTGCTGCTTATTTGTCACAGTTTGGAGACTTTGCCGAAGTTTGCCCTAGTTGGAAAATCTGCGATTGGAAAAATGGAGACTAAACAGGCGATGCTGATTTTTATCCCAAGGCCGAGGACGTGACTGTGCCAGCTTCTGCTAAAGCTCTGGATGGACTTCTAGCTTTTAGGTGAATGTGTCACACTGGTTCTCTGCACACCTGGCATGTGGCGTTAGAGGTCTGCACAGGTCCTAACCTAAAGCCACAGTATTGTCTTTAACACCCAGTGCAGCTTGTACCTCCTAATTGGACATCTGAACCAGAGATTCAAGGCTAGATTTCATTGTATTCTTTCAAAATCACACAAAAAAAGACGGCTATTGCAATACACACTGATTTGCAAATTAACTAAACCCAAGAATAATCTGAGCCTGAAGCTTTATACAAATAAACAAAAGACCCAAAACACCTGAGTGGCTCAAGTTATGTAATAAATCTCTCCTTTCTTTCTGAATGGCAGCTCCACAGAAGCTACAGAAGTCAGCAGCACCATAACTCTTTTATGGAAAACAGACATCTTATAAATGAAAACCACCTCATTAAATAAACTCTCGTCAAATTATTTTTACCGCCTGCATGCGGTGCAGGAAAGCCGAGACTTTGTTACAACTCACATTTCCTAAAGATACAAGCTGAATTCATTTAAATTTACACACCGAATAAAAGGATTTAGTTGGATAATCATAAAGATTGAAAGCATAGGCAGACTTGTACCAAACAGTTAATGCTTTAAAAAAATCATCAAGTAAAAAATCATCAAATGAGAAGTTAACAGTTATACTCTGTAGGTTGAGGGGATGGAATTGGCCTCGTGTGTGAGTGAACAATGAAGGATTTTAAGGATAATAATGGTTAAAAATAATAATAAAACTAATGTGAAATAAAAAAAAGTATACACATGTAAATAATGTTTATGGACTGTTAATAAGATAAAGACTACTTCAGAACATAATTAACACCTTTGAGTATTTACATTACTCATACACTCTGCCTAACTTGTAACTTGGGTTAAAAAAGTATTATTGTTACTATTCTTATTCACAATGTTTATTTTAAACCCTTAACAAGCTTTGTTTTTTGTTTGATTAGCACACAATTGTAATAATAATTATAATAAAGAGTTCGCAGTCGTCGAAATGATCTCTACACATAGAAACTGCCAACGACTTTATTAAAAGTAATCTAATAAGGCCGTTAACACTTTTACAGTCTTATTAAAGCTTCCTGCATGTTAATTAAATCTTTGTAAGGACTCAAAGACTGTAAATAAAAGGTGGATGAATGGTTTTGCGTGCTCACATCTTGTTTCAGAACATGGAGGCTTCCCATCATGACTTTGTTAACTAGTGGTTACAGCCACCTTTTATATACAGTCTATGCTTGAGTAGCACTTACCAAGTTATGACCGCGTTTCACAAAAAGCTAAGCATTTGCTAACTGTTGTGGTTTAAAGATTTTATTCTCCTCGTGCTGAGGAAAAATTGATATCACATTTCTCTTAAGCGGGCAGAAAAAGACCTACATAATGGTTACGTATTAAAGCAGCGCTCCTTTAGTCCTTACATTGAGGCATTCAATTCACCGGACCTGTGTCAGAAGTGCTCCGGGAAATGTTACTCGGCCTAACCTATTAAGTAGCAAGTCGCGGCTTTTACTGAAGAAGTGACTCAAAGATGAGACAGACATATAATTGCCAGCACAATAACAGAGTGAAGTGCATGTATTAAAGGCACTAAAGAGACAGAGAGTTGAAGAAAGGGCAAGAGTACCATACCTCCATAGTCTGAGACTGGTGCATGGCTTTGATTGCATTCTGTGCCATAGCTCTGGTGGAAAACGTGACAAACGCACATCCTGTAACGAGGGAGGGGGGGGCAGAGGGAGGGAGGGAGGGATGGAAGGGGAGTGGGAGGGAGGGCAGAAGGGCAGGAGGAGGAGGGAAGACAAGAAAGAACAAAAACAAGACAAAAGGGTTGGACACGTCGTCGTTATAAAAACCCAAAACAGAGATTGATACAGAGAACAGCTCACAGGCAGACACAGTGTTCTCAGTCGCTGTAGAAACAACAGGCGAAAAACGAGCACAGTGTAATGACAACCACAACCCCTCCCAGACCCCCATCCACCACAGGACACCTGGGACAATAACCATCGGAGCGTCGGATTGGCTGTTGATGCCTTCCCTCGTCCTTGCCCCTCCTCCTCCTCCTTCCTCTCGCTCCCACACACACACACACACTGGCCGAATTCGTCATACCTGTATTCAACCGCTCTCATCTCTCAGCAATTGAGCGGTGTAAAGCAGGTTGAATATGCATGAAAACGATTTGGATCCATTTGGGCCGTTCATGTTGTTTTGTGTGTCTGATTGGGTGCCCTCTCTTTCTGTCTTTGTCAGACAGGAAAGAGATGTGATAGAGGAGGGCGAGGTGAGGGGGGGGCATCAGCAGTGGGCTCGGGAAGACGGGAGGATAGGAAATGATATTAATTCAATCCACAGGGAGAGGAAGGCGAATAGGAAGTGGAGGTGTGGTCGACCTCCTCCGTGACTGACACTGATTTTAGCCAATCAAGATTGGACACAGCCAGAGGCAATTTTAGGGGAGTTTGTTATCAGTTGTTTGTGGGTAAGGGGTGAGAGGAGGGGGTGCAAAGTTGTGTTTGTCTGACTGGTTAGGGAGTGATTAGAGGAGATAATGTGAGAAGTGCTTCAACAACACCCCAGGCTAATAATATGCTAACAAACTCACCAAGCCATGTTAGCGCAGCCAGGCCTGAACTGATTACACACATGCTTGGACACACACACACGTTCAGGTTCAGCTGGCTGACTCGTGGCTTGGCTACGGAGGAAAAAACTAATAGCATGGGTCATCAGATAGACTCTCCCTGGCTGTGTGGATGGGATGAAAGGGCGGAGAGAGGGGGAGAAAAGAGGAAATTGTGAGGATAATGTAACGGACAACAAGACAGAGAGAGAGGGGAAGGACAGATATGTTGAGGAATAGATGATCATTGTTCTCTTCCACCTCACAAGCCGCCTGTAGCTGTGATAGAATGAGGATGAGAGAGACGAATGGTCAGTTTTTTCTCCTGACTACATCCACGGCTGCCTGGATTTTGAACACAGGCGTTTCCCGGAGAAAATGTAGACCTGCACTTGTACAGTTACAAGTTTATCTCGGGGCTCTGACCGCCCTTTCTGGAGGGTAACACGTTTCTGATGAGCCTCGCTGTTTAAAATCGGTAGAGGGCAGGTCGGTTTCTTTGATTGTTGGGCTGTTTCACAAACTGATTTTAAAACAAGAGATTAGAGTTGCATCTGTTTCTCATAGTCACTGTTTGTCTCTTTTATTTTGTACGTAGCGCTCAAACTGCTTGGTTACAGCTTTGGATCAAATCGCCAACTTTGCAATTATTGGACGACCCGTTCTACCTCTGCAAACATTTGAGACACGGGGCACGCCGAGCAAGCGAGTTAAACCCCGTATTAAGTCGAATATAACCAATTTGAAGATAAATATTTTTAATATGCTCATTTTGATGCCAGCAAAACATTTTGAACGTGTTTCAACAGAATCAAAATCCAGCTGATTAGTAATATGGTTACTTATAAAAGAACCAGGCTGGTACAGATAGGGAGGCAAAGACTACGTGGGCAAACAGTTCTTAAACCGTTTTAATATATATATATTTTTTTAAATAATCTGTGGTATATAATACATTTTAAAAGATATAATCTATATTTAAAGATTCAGAATTCCTGATCTTCAGCCTCTCAGGTGTCATTAAAAACACATCTCTGTCGTAGAAAGTTAAAACTGTATCATGAAAATATGAAAGCATATTTAAACAAGTTCCAGATGTGTGTCTCTTGGCCTCATTTTATTTTAATAGGAGATTAGGCAAAGTGGGGAACTCTGCTTTGATTTGACCCATATTTAACTGGATCAGGTGACCCTGAACTGTCCCTCAGTTACGCTGCAACTGGTCTAGGCTTGTGGGGTCTTCCCATGATGCACTGCGTGTTTCTTCTTTCCTCACCCTTTCACTCTCTGCAGTTAATCATTAGTTATTATTAATCTCTCTCTCGTCTCATCTCCCTCTCCTCACCCTGCTGGACATTTCTTCCTGTTAAAAAGGAGTTTTTCCTTCCCACTGTCACCATATGCTTGCTCACAAGGGGTCGTCTGATAGTTGGGGTTTTCTCCGGATTATTGTAGGGTCTTTACGTTACAACATAAAGCAACTTCAGACAAACTCTTGTTGTGACTTATCGCTATATAGATAAAACTGAACTGAATGAAAGCAATGTCATTATCTGGCAAACTAAACTGCTGAGTAGGTGAAATTATATATCCTGGGCAATAACAGGAAATAATTTAAAAAGTAACATAACTGGTGTGTTTGAAAGAGGTCAGCACACCCTTGGTCCCAGCCTTTTTGAAAATCTTTTTCTGTCATTAAACTCAGAATGTGCACATATGTTTTCTCTGTTTTTAATAATTTGCATAAATTGGCATTTTTTAAATTTTCCATGTTACCTAGAGCCCTAACTCTTTTTTAATCTTTTTTGTAGGTTGTAATTTTGAAAATCAGTACTGAAAAAAGTAATGTGGATATTTTTTGAAGGCATGGTTGCTAAACCTATTATATTAACACATGATAAAAGCAGAAATTATAGCACTCAAAAAGTTTACCGGGTCTCCTGTTAGAGGTTCAGACTGTATTAACTGAACATATCAACTGAGGCCACAGTACTGAAGATTCAGTTTTTATAGTCTACACCATTTTCTGAATAGAATAAGAAGTTTAAGTGATGGCTGTCAAGAAGAATGAGCCTTGGTCTTTAGTGAGAACAACTTTAGAACTGAAAGAAATACACTTGAACATTTTTATCATCCGAGCACTCAAATCAACATCTTCTGTGTTCAATTTTCAAAATGATTGTTCCTATTGGTTATGCAGACCTGTCTCTGATCTTATATGAAACCTATTGACCTTTCTTTTTTCTTTTCTGTCACTGCAAACTGGAAGATAGAGTTCAATCACCTTTTATGTGAAACTACCTTGGTTACTTAACATTAAAGAGGAATGAAGGTGATAAAAAAAAAGAGACTGAAGCTCTGACCTAGTAAACATTTGATGCGTCCTTTGCAGTGCCAGGGCTGCTGTGCTAAGTGGTAACACTGAAGATAGGACATACAAAAAGGGGTCATTTTTCGATTTATTCAGGGGACTGTCTATTTTAGGTGGGCCACAATCTGCCATTTAACTGCTTATTTTCCAGGAGGCTGCCTCCATCCTCTGCAGAGAAGTAATGCCCCAGAACTAGATCAGTTCTGCAGGGGGCATCCATTTGGGTTAGCCCTCCAGACTGGTCCTGATAGGTCCTGACACTATTTATAAAACCGGTCAGCTACAACATCCTCGGCTGTCACCGAAAGGAGACTCATCAGTTTGTCTCCAACTGTCAGACAGGATGCTTTTTATCCGCAAAGAAACATTTCTATCTTTAGCCCGTTTCTGCAGCTTGAAGTCAAAGCTTCTAAATAAGGAATTCCACTGCGCCTGCACACTGATTCATTAATGTCGAAGCTGTTAATGAAAAAAAGGAACGCTTAGAGTCGAAGCCATACTTTCTGGCTGGTTGGTGCATGTCTTATTTTTCGAAGCACAGAGATGGGACGTGGCTCGAGCGCTAAAAATACCTCACGGGCCGCATTCTGTCGTCAGTGGAGAACCAAACAGTCCTTTAATGAAAGTAGGGTAGCTCCCCAGGCCCAGCCATCCACTGGTGGTGTGATCCATATTTTATTAATAGCGGGATGGTGGAGCGCTCTTCTGATTGATATCGAGATTTAATAGGACCTCAGCAGCAATGCTACGTGGGACTGAGGGCCCCTGGGAGTTGCAGGCACACAGAAATCCATAAAGACCTATTTATTTCCAACCTGGTTAGGGGTGTTTGTTTACTAGCCAAGACCAAGCTGGACTAACAGAATTTCCTTTTCGACTAAGTGGTTTATATTAGTTCCACAGAAGCAAGGATTTGGCCATTGCATCTAAAATATTCATGAGGACAAAAGAGAGGAGCTGAAGAGGGATGGAAAAAGGAAACAGGGAAGGGAGGGAAGGAGGCCGGTGTGGGATGTCTGAGAAAAAGAGGACAAATTGATGCAAGAACGGATTCTAGGACAGCCAGGGTGAATATAGAGACGGGGAGGGCCGTGTCGTTCGCAGAAGCAGAGGAACATGGGAGTTTGAGTAGTGTGGTTTCAGGCAAAGACTCAAGATGGAGACAACCTTCAGAAGAAAAGGAGGAAGATCAGACTCGAGTCAACAATAAAACATCCATAACATTCGACAGCCACAGAAAAATATATATCACCAACATAACCACACTGAACCTGCGTGACGATGACAGCGACAGCTCCCGTGACAGAAGGAGGAAGAATAGAAGGACAGAGATTCGCAAAAAGCCCCTCCATCTCCTCAGCACATAGAAACCACACAGGGGCAGGGAAGGGGGAGGTAGGGTATACTGGGAGTATGTTTGAAATGAGCCGTGAGGGGAGGCAGGTGTGTGCTGGTGGGAAGAAATGGTTGATGATGATTATTTAGATAGGTAACATAGTTAAAAATAGATTGATAGATGATTATCATATCTGCTCATATGTCTTGAAACACGGACCTACAGAACACATCTGTCACACCCAGCAGCTGACTGATCTGAATGATTTGACACCTGGTTAATAGGTCCATTTCTTTTCTTTAAAAGCAGGCCTGGAGCACTTTGAGAAGAGCACCAAGAGTGTGCCAATTACGAAGGAAACTCGCCAGGAATTTGCTGTTTTGCTGTGGAAGCAGCTCATACCTTTCTCCAAATCAACTGAATTGGAGATGTTGCCACATTCAGAGTCATAAAAACGTTTTTCTTTTCTTTTATGGCCGTGTTACTTTTTCATTACTGCTCTATGACTCCCGCCAAGTTCCCGAATGGCCAAATCAGCACCTCACCAACTGAAAAAAAATGAAAGGGAAATGGCTGGTATTACAAGGGTTTCATGTGAACTGCCAGTAATAACCATAATTTGCTTGAAATTCTAAATTTGAGGGCAGGCTTTCCTCAATATCAGTTTGGTACTGAACTCAAATTTGGTTCAACAAGTGATTTATGTCAACAGTAACTGAGACTGGTATCAAATAACTGGTAAGATCATTCACTGAAGATAAAAGATTAATGTAGCTATGGTGTCCTTGAGCAGAGCAGTGGTTTTAGAAACTAGCAACGAGCACAAGGTGGATTTGACTGACATAACCTAACATAAACTCGTATACTGATGTAATAAAGTGGGGTCTTCTTCTCATAGACTTATCAAGTAAAAAAAAAGTAAATAAAGTTGCAGTAAAATTATGAAAGTGCTTTAAAATTAACATTTTGTTTTGCTACGCAAAACATAACCAATCCTTTTATTTCAACACTACAAAGCCAACAAAGCAGCAACTCACGTCCCGATTTGGACAGCGGATTTGAAAATTCCCACTGCTCTGCAATAGAAGTACAGAGCTTAGGACTGGCTCATGGACAGGCTAAACCGGAACAGCAGGGAAGGTGGAGGATATGAACAGAGGTTAGGAGGCGAGAAGGAGGAGTGGGAGAGGGGATGTTTGGGGATGAAGCTGACAGAGCAAGAAGGGAAGAAGAAAGAATGGGGGTGGGGGGTATATAGGGCGAAAGAGGAGAAGCATGTATTCACAGTGGTGGCCACAGCAGCCTCGAGATGTTTCTCCAGTTCATTTGCATTGACTTCTTAAAATGACTCTTTTAAGACCTTGAAGGAAAACATTTAGGAAGAAGCAGTTGGTTGAAAACAGATTCTGATACAAAGGCTGTGCTGTATTAGGCATATAAGGTATACTGGGCTTGTTGCACTCATTTAATTTCTATAAACAGATATCTATACATAAATGTGGTTCCTTTTTTAGTCTGTTTGTACTCTCAATCCCAACAGACTTCAATGGTAAAATCCCCAACTTTACGGCAACTTTCCAGCAGAAACTCTTTCTGGTCACTTCAGATATTTTTTTTCAACAAAAAACTGTACTGTGGCTATGATTTTCTATAACTCACCTGTTTGTTAAAGCTTAAAATTAGGGATCTAGCTGCTGTTGTCTGCTAGTTGTCTCTGCTAACTGTCTCGAGGCTTAACCTCTATTAATAAGAATAATTAAAGTGGGCTTCATGTGCTTTTAGGACCTCTTTGAAATGGGATTATCTGACTATATCTATCATTTTTTTATCTGAGAATTTGTGCTTCCGTTCTAATGAGTAAAATTGTTAATTGATACTTAGCAGTTATTAGCAGGTGTTTGCGCCTATGCAGGTAAAGCTAACCAAGCTTGTTTGCACTGGCAGATGGTGTAACACTCCCCACTTTCATCCAAGTATGGTCACTTTTGGATCCAAAAACCAAAAGTATGGTAGCTGATGCTGACACTTTAAGAACAGGAAGTTCAGAATTAGTCTGTATACTTTATATACAGTCGATGGTTTGCACCTCTCTCATCCTCCACCTTGTGTCCAACAGCTATCATCAGAGGCCTAAAGACTTATTAGCAACCATCTGACAACCAGTGGTTGTGTAGGGAAAACTAGTGAAACAGGTTGTTTGCATGGCTAATGCCAACTTGACTTGTAAACAATAACTAAACAATAACTACTACTATTTAACTTGCTTGGAGGATAAATTGGCATCGCTCATGCAAACTACAAGAGACCGCAGCAATCTTGCAGCAAACTTTAACAACCACTTACAACTGCATGTGTATTTACCACTGGTTGGTAAATACACATGTGGTTGCCGAGGGTTGCTAAAGAGTCTAAAGGCCTGTGTGACTGAGGCCATACAACACCAGCTAATCTAGAATAATTTTATCTTGTAATATGCAGAAAATAAAATAACCTTTAAACCACAACTTGATGCCCCTATACATCCATTAAGTGGATAAACTAGCAGAGCCTTTTGAGAGCCCTGCTCCAGCTTCAGCTTTAATTATTTCTGCTCTCATTCTAGTGCTTATTATTATCACTAGAATTTCTGCAGTATCTATCAAACCAATAAAACCTGATAATATGAGCTCTAAAATGGCCTTTGATGTCTTTATGACCTGCACAGAGCTCTTCCACTGCAGACCTTTGATGGCTAATAATTGATTTTATTTTGGCGAACCATTCGATAACCATCTACTGAACCACTCAGACTCCGGGAAATAAAAAAGGACAGAGCGCGCTTCCACTTGCCGAAGACAATGAATGGCTCAAGGCTGACTTTCAATTAGAAAATCAAACCTGCACACACAAACATTTATTGTTGGTTCTGTCAGGTGTGCAGCTTGATCACAACATTAAAATACTATTTCAGGTAAATGGGGAAATCTAATTTAATAGGCACGGGCACATTATGCGCAATGAAAGGCTCATCATTTTTCTATACTGCTGATTTGCAGGGGAAATATTTATGACCCCAAAAAGTTTTTATATAATAATTACCGCAGTTTTAAGTAAACAGTCTTTTCTTGCAACACTGACAGCTCGAAAAACACTTCCAGAGGTAGACAGTGAAGTGAAAAATGGCTGAGAAGGTGTAAATGAGCGGCTTCCTGTGCAGCACAAATGCTTTTAAGCAGGCAAATAACAATAAACTGCAAAACATTAAAGCAGTTGGGAACTTTTTCAAGTAAGTTTTTCAGAACCTGTCTTCAACCAGTCAACTCTTATCACAAAATTTCGAGGTAAACACTCCCAAGTGAGGATTTTGAGTCATTACACAAGTTAATGCGATGAACTGTAGCTGCTGGAGGCCACACAGGTGTTAATGTTCACATGAGGAGCATCAAGTCTGGATCGAAGTGAGTCAGAGGGACAGGTACCTCTGCTGAGCCCGTCGGGTCCTCGGAGGATCCGGCATTCCTCGATCTGTCCAAACGCAGAGAACATGACCCGGATGTCGTTCTCGTTGCACTTCTTCGACACCATGCCGATGAACAACTTCCTGTCTTCCACTGCTGTAAGGAGAACCGAGAAACAAGATGAATGAAGAGATTTTATGACATTAACACTCTGTGCACGCCAGAGTTAATGCTGTGTTCCTCTCAAATGACTTTAAACATTTCCTTAATACCTATTTCACTCTTAATCAGAAAAGACCTCAGGTGCCCTCTAAGAAAACCACTCTGACATAACTGTAATGGGCTTCTAAAGCAGATAGAAACATGGCATAAAGGGGAAAAAAAACAGTTTGAAAGCTTAATCTGTTGAACTTTGGGTTTTATTGTAAATTATGGCCTTAACCCAAATGTTATATAAGACAAAACTCACTTAGTCATAAAGCCTGTTGCATCCAGAATAGTTTGAGGGGTTTTTCTTGATGCTGAGCTAATGAGCTGCTACTAGCTTTATATTTATTATCCAGGCATTTAAGTGTTTTCAGTGTTTGTTGTGAAAGCAAATAAGTACTTTAAAGCTGGTGTAGGCAAATTTCTTTTAGTTTTGGTCATTAGACAAAAAAAAAGTGGATTCATCAGAGTACTATCACCGGGAGAGTGGGGTTCAAAGTCCCTATATGCCACATGGATTACATGCTGGATAGTGGGTGGGGCTTAAAAACGAACCCTTGGGCTATAACCTCCGTTTGACTGACTCATTAGTAGTGATGTGCGATACCACTGATATCCTTTCCGATCCGATACCAAGTAATATTCAGGGTGGTATCGACGATACTGATCCGATACTGATACTTTGTACAAAAACTTATTTTATTTGATGTATCTCAAATTACAGTGTCATAATGATTACAGGACATCAGATTACTTGTTCTTATCACTTAGTAATGCAGAGTTCATCATACAGGAATAATAAAAAAACTGAAGTTGTGCGCTATTTAAACACGTTGCCTGCCTGCAGCACTAAAGGACTCCGTGAGAGACGTCTGTCTCGCCCTAGCAGCACCTGTCCCTGTCCTCCTCTTCAGTTCGCCTCAACATGCGCTCGTCATATTCTGTGATATCATTTACTCTGAGGTGTTTGACGAGGTTAGTGATGTTGCCACAACCATACATGCCAACCCTCCTGATTTTTCCGGGAGAATCCCGAATTTCAGTGCCCCTCCCGAAAATCTCCCGGAGCCACCATTCTCCCGAATTTCTCCCGATTTTCCACCAGGACAACAAAATTGAAAAAACATTTCGCAGAATTCATAGCGCGGCCCAGCCAATTCCAGTTTCCAACAATGGCGGCAGCTACTTAGTTTTAATATCACTCTTATTCCTCTTTCTGGGTCGCAAAAAAACTTTTTTCAGGTGAGAATCTAGCCGTGTAAACTTCAAATATATGAGCCGACCGACACATCGCGGTCTTTCACTAGTCGGGTTAAACATGCTATACAAGTCACTTTGATAACTTAAAAATGTTATTGTTTGGCTTTTTCAGTGTTTTATTTGTTCGTGAGTAAATCGGTTTGGCTGAGATTAAAGTTATTAGATTAGATTAAATTAAATTAAACTTTATTAATCCTCCGGGGTTTTCACACAGCTGAATAAACGTCAAACAGAAAACTAATTAAACAAAGTGTGAGACGGTCGAGAGTTTACGTCAGTGCCCGGTTATATTTTAGACAGCAAGGAGCAGACGGCAGAGTTTCACTCCACGGAGGGAGCTCGTGACGTACTACCCGGCTTTCTTTAGACCGCGAAGGCCGGGTCCTCAGGTGGAAGCAGCCTCTGAATTTGGACACCCCCGCTGTATTTTATCCGATAAATCAACACTGTAAAATGTATTTATCACCCCAACAGCCCTTTTGAATGTCTCCCTAATTCTGAGGTCTCAAGGTTGGCAAGTATGGCCACAACATCTCACTTTTTGCCACATGTATCGCAAACCACGTCTCAGCTGTTTGTGGAGGTAATATACGTCCGCACAATTACGCTCAGCCATTGTTGCGAGTGCGCACGCCAAGGGGCTGCGAGACATTTATACAGCCGTATTTCGCACATGACTATGAAAGGCGGAAGAGGAAGTAGTTCCTTTGAATGTAGACAATCCGAATGTTATAGTTTCTTTCCACTGTGTTCCTGTTAATGATAAACTACAAATTTACCCTAAATTACTAAAATATTGATATTTGAATGTGAGAATCGATTCTAGAGAATAAATGATTGGTATCGGAGGAATCAATATTTCAGGATCGATCCGCACATCACTACTCATTAGCTGTGCCATCACTGGAACTTATTTCCTAAGCGCAGGAATGCTTCATGGCTAATCAAAGTCCTTCCAGAAGCAAGTCTGGGTACTCAGCAGCCATACTGATAATGCCTCCCTAGGTAGTTATTTCGAAGTATTATTGAAATTAACTTTAATTTATTAACTGCTTATCCAATTCAGAGTCACAGAGGGGCTAGAGCCTATCCCAGCTGTCACAGGGTGAGAGGTTGAGTACACTGGGCAGCCTGTCGGTCTATCGCAGGGCTAACACAGAGAAAGAGTGTGTTAACACTCACAGCCACACCTATGGCCACCACTGAACCTAACATGCATGTGGTCGAGTGTGGGAGAACGTCAGAGCACCTGGAGAACTGGGAGAGAACTCATGCAAGCACTGGGAGAACATCCACACAGAACGGTTTCAAACCATTGTTCACTAATAACTTTAATTTCAATCTTCTAAAATAAAATGCTTAAAAAGTTTGCTGACAAATAAGCTGTTACAGATTTCTTTCATAGATGTCATATTAGGACTGCCACTTTTCTCTCCTATTATGTTTCTGGTTTAATCCCGTGCTTTTGCCGGATGAAAGAAGGATTAACTGTAAAGAATTGGGTGTTTCAGAAAGCGTACTCACAACTTTAAACCCTCCCAAACTCAGATATGGTCTAAGTTAAAGATTTACTGAACATTTCTGCCCCAAGGTTAGTGACACCACAAAATAAAGTAATCATGGATAGATGGAGTGTGAACATCGCAGCAGCTCATAACCAACAATCAGCGCTTTATCGTGTAAAAAAAAATTGGCTAACTTGACTTTGTTAGGACATAAAACTTTGCTGATTTATTTAAGAGCAGTTCCAATTTCAGATGACCAATATTTTCTTTGCTTGAGGGTAGTTTCTGTTTTGTGTAGTTTACGGCTAATCACATTCAAAGCCATTTTTTAAATATATGTACCAAGGAGAGTATGCTGTGAAATAGTGATGTGTGGAAAAAAAGATTGGTAAGAACAAAGAGTAAAAGAAAAATAAATAGATAAAAATGAAAAAGAGCGAAATGTGGAAAAATGGATTGAGACAAAAAAATGTAGCAATCAAAAGAAACAGTCAAAGAAAGAAAAAAGACAGTGGGAGAGCGATGAAGACAGACAGAGTTCATGTATTTCATCATGCCATCTGTGAGGCTCTGATCAATGTCTCATTATCACTTCAACACCGGCTCCTTGCTGAGACTCTTCAGCCTGTCCTCTCTCACCCCCTTCTTCCCTCCCTCCACCTCTCCTTCCTCCTCTATCCTCCTTCCTCCTCCCTCGTGAATTTCTCTCCATCTCCTCTGCTGACACAATCCCTCCTTCCTCCGGTGCAATCTCGAGGAACGGGCGCAGGCGGCTGCAGGTGAAGGCGAGAAACTTGCCCCCGTGCGTTTTCCAGCACGAGGCGTTAAGTTCGAATTAGGCTGAGAGTGAAACCCACATTCATTCGCTGAAACAATGCGCGCATGTGTGTGTTTATGTGTTCCCGCTGCATTCAATGTAATGCTAATCCAATTCATTTTTAATGAGGAAACTGTCAGCTCTTACCGCGAGGCGAAAGAGATAAGCGGTCTGTTGCACTCTGGGAAATCAATAGCGCACTTGTTTATTTTGCTGTTTGAATTGTTTGTGTGTTTAAAAAACAAACCATCGGGATACGCTGCCAAGATAAGTTGCTTCAAAAAGCTTTAACTCCTTTGTACACACAGTGTGTGTGTGTGTGTGTGTGTGCGCGCATCACTCCAGAGAAAGATTACCACAAGTCTAACAGCAATGTAATTAATTTACTCTGTGTCGATAGGAAAGAAAGAGAGGAGATATCGTTACAATTGACTGTTTCTGTTTTCGGACGAGGCGCACAGGCAGGCGGGCGGGTGATAAGACTCATAAAGCCGGCTCTGGGATGTATCAGGAGTCGGCTTTGCATTCGGGGATAAATCGGAGCAGAACTGGCCTCACGCTGAGCTCCAAAAATATTTAAAAGATGCTGAAGAAAGAATCACAAAGGTTTAGGGAGGTGTTAAAGAAAACCCCACACACACATATGCACAAGATTAACCAATACTGTTATCTCTCTCAGTCTCTTTCTCTTCTTCCATCTCCACTGACTAAACTAATAAAGCTCTGCGCAGCCATACGTCACTGTTACAGCGGATCTAACACTGGGTTTATTAAAGGTCATTACCGTTAAATGGATGGACGTGTAACGTATGGTCTGCTCTATATTTCACCATTCCCACTGTGAGCAGCGGCTTCTTTATTAAGTTCCACCATCCTTACCCTGACAGTTATTTCTTATAAAGTGATATTTGGCCATATTTCAGTGGAGCGGATGATGGCTTTTATAAGCATTTCTCCCCCTGCCTTCCCAGATGCTGTCATTTTGCTCTCCTCCCCTGCAGTGGACAGTGACATACATGGCAGGCTAGAAGGAAAGCTCTGTGATGCTGCTGTGGCAAATGAGCTGCATTTAACGTACACGTTAGTTCTGCATGTGTCCGAGAAATGCTATTAAATGTAGCATTGCTGGCTTTAAATGGGCAGTTCATCCAAACCAAAATTCCGCTCAATTACTCAGCATTAAGGGTCACTTCATCCAAACTGCAAAAACCTACATTTTCTCACTTAACTGTCTAAATAATTTTAATTTCATTTGCCAAATTTTCACATACCCTATGTGCTGCTAAAGTTTCTTGAGCTCTGCCACACTACATAATTCTAATGGGAACCATTTCACACCAAAAAATCCCCAAATTGGGGTCTTCTGGTTATTCATCCAGCAAAACTGCAAATCTCCGAGGAAGCTTAGATGATTTTTCTTTCAAAACTGCCTTTTTGTTTTTACATTTTTTGAACCGCAAAAATTGAGTTGCGCTAATTTCTGATTCAGCTGGAGTCCGAGCAGCAAAACGTGTGAAAATAACTGCTCTTGTGTGAATTTACCAAGAAGGTAAGGAAAGCCCGAGTTATTACCTCATAGTGTGAAGAACAAAATGTCACAGCAGTGTATTTACTTTAAAAATGTCAAGAAAAAAAGAAGAGTTATTAAATTCTTTTGCTTGACATTCAAGTTTAGTTCAGATTTGGTACTGAAAACATCCGCTATGGGCTGTAAGAAGAATTAAAAAAGTCAGATTGGCTATTTAGAAATAACTTCCCAGAGTCCTGCCATTTATTAACATGACCTCTGGAGTACATAAAAGCTAAACTCTGCAAGGGAAAATGAGAAACAATGATTGTTTTTAGCACCTAAGTCAGCGTTCTCCATCTTTTTTCAGCTGCCTTACACAATCATGCCCTAAAAAGTTCATTTGAACTCATTTTAAATAGGATCAGGACTTATTTAATTCATTTTAGCTGCCCATAACTTTAGCTTAACATTAAAACAATGGAGCTTTTACTTTTTGTTACTAATTAATTTAACAGGTAATTATGTTATGACAGTTAGTGACCAATTTCCCTGAGTTTATCTATTACAGTTCAGTTTGTTAACTATTAATCCAAACTTTAGTTTAGGCCTTGTCACTAGCAGCTAACTGCTAACTAATAGTCACATTTGTTGCTAAATTTCATTCACAACTTCATATTAATAACTTTAGATATCTATTGTGTTTGCAAACACTTTCAACTGTTTTCCTTCAACATGTCTTCTGCTTGATCAATGTCTTCGTTTTATGGCAAAGAAACCAAATTATTTCCTCCTGGATTTAGTGGGACATAGGTGTTTATCAGCTTCAGGTTTCTGTTTTTGTGGCAGTTATATCGTTGTCCATGACTGAAAGCTCACGTCCAGTTGAAGCAATGGAATTAAACATGAGTCCAACAGTTTGAGTAATAAGTAAGAAGTAAAGTGACCGTCTGGAAATAAATAAGGAACTAACTTATAACATATTTGTGAGTTGATTTTTAAAGGTCTGCATCTTTGCTCAACAAAATGCGTCAGAAGAAGCGATGAAGTATTTATAAATGGGCTAACAGATAACAGCAGGCCTACCCTTTAAAGATGCATTCACTGGTATTACACACTGTCCAACAGCTTCCTCTTTGAATGAGAAGGAATGGAGGACGAGGCTTGGTATAGGAAATCAATTCAGAGCTGGATCTGCGGTATGTAGTTTGGGAACGGGGTGATCTGAGGACGAGGGTGTGCGACACTGCTTGTGTGCATGCACGCGCACGCGTGTGTGTGTAATAGATGCATTAGGGAGAACGTGTGCGGCAAGAGGAGAGTGCATACAACATGTTTGTATGAGTGAGCAGCCACAGGGGAGAGAGGCCGGTTCACAACGAGGCCAAAACGATTCAACTTTCACTGACCTCTTTATGAACCACCTTAATAATTCATCACACATAGAAAAAAATATATTTATATATATCAGTATTGCCCCATCCCACCCCCTTTCTCTCCTCGCTCTATGTTTCAATCTTTTCCCCGAGTCCCCCGTGCTGTCTGCCAATCAAGCAGAGATAGCCATTACCAAGCAAAATTCGAAAAAGGCTATTGATGCATGCATGCATGTGTATGTGTGTGTGTGATATTGATGGGTCTGTCACTGTGCATGTGTGCAGTGCCACTCACCATTAGATTTCTCACTGTCTGCAGGTTTCATCTGAATAGGGTGGTGCATCTGTAGAGAAAGAAAACAAGGACAAAAAAACACCTCATCAAATATCAGTACACATGCCCCAAAACACAATATGACGAATGCTGCAATTCACTTTGTCTCTTCACATCCAAATTAAATCCCAGGAGGATTTCATACTCTGTTAATTACACATGTTTTATAGAGATGCTTTTGTCAGATAAGAAATATGGCGGCAATTGCTTTGGTTTTCCCACAGCAGATAGAAATCTGTGTGACACACAGTACGCCGCTCAGCTCCGGAGGGCGGCGGTAGAGCATCTAAACCGGTTTTCTCCAGCAAATGCCAGAAAACACGAGGAGGAGATGAAGATATAGGGGTGAAGAGGGCAAGAGAAAGGACAGAAATGAGACCACATGCAAGAGCCAGAGCATGGGAAAGTACAAGGAGGATGCACATCAGCAAAAACCGAGAAGTAAATAAAAGAGGAAGAAGCCCCAAAAAGAAGAGGAGGAAGAAGAAGAGCAAGTGGTTTTCTGCTTAACATTTCTAAATCGCTTAGAAATAACTACCCAGGGACATAAACACATGGAAGATAACAGTTTGCTCGCAAGAAGTCCACTCACTCACTTCAACAACTGCAACTGATTATTGCGGAGATAAAAGCTTCATACAATAGTCGGCCAGATGACCGCCAGCATGAAAAATGCTGGTGCTGGTGCACTGCACACTGAGAGACATTAGCATATAAACATAACCTTTCAATATTTGGAATATTTCAGCATTGTTATTTGCCTGTCACTGTAACAGAAGGAAGACCTAAAAAGAGTTTATTTCCACAAATCACTGACCAAGAACTCACTTTGGTTTACAGACATGAACTCAATCCTTGCACGGGGTTGTATATGATAACGTTGATGCATGATCAGCTGGAGAGGACATTATGTTTCAGGCTTCCTAACCTGCTTCATGGTTCAGATGGTAAGAGATATTACTCTGCTAGATCTGAAGTATGAAGTCTGACATTAGAGCAGAATTTGTCAAAGAGTATCATGTTTCCTGTCTCCTGCTCGCTCTACAGCACCACCCCTCTTTAAAACCAGAGGATTTTCATCAGTGCAAACTCATCAGACATGGATGATTTCCTGTACAACATATGACTCTAGACCAGGCTTGGGCCTGACTGTTCAACGGATTCTCATCCCAGTGGTGTCTATCAGAAACTACTGGCATTAAAGATCCCAAATTGTCTTTTGCACTGTTTTTAAGGAGAGACCAAGTCCTCGTTAACCGAACGTTATCATCCCACAAATGTGTCTGTTTGTGTACAAGCTTCTTTTCGGACAAGGGGCGATGAGAGGGTCCTCCAAGGTTTTCACTGCGGGTTGTGGAAGTGGTGATGTGTCTTCATAGATGAAGAAGTTCAGCATAAAAAGCTGTGACAGCGACTGCTGTGGACTCTTTATGTTTTTTTAAACACTCAGTTTTACTTTGTATGTTGGAAGTTAGAACGTCGCTTTCCACCGTGGCTCACAGATGGACTAACAACAGCACAAAGGAAGAGTGACCCACAGCCCGGTTGTACCAAATACCTTATACACTTCCTCCATCTGGTAAAAGAGCCCACTGCAGGCAGACTGGACATTCTTTTTTTAACCTTATTTTTACTTTTGATTTTACTTGCTGTGTTTAAGGGTAGGCAGCAAAAACAGCTTGGTTGGTATTAGAAAAAAGAGCTTTGGGTTAAAATGACAAAACTACCCAGTGCATATAAATGTTACACCAAGGGTTCCTGAACAGTTGTCCATATGTGATAGGTTGGGCTAGTACCATGTTGCGTGCCACACACCACAGACACCAAAGGCATCTCAAACTTTATAAGCTTTACACCAGCTGAACATCTGGCTAAAATTGATTTCCAGGGTCAGAGCCAAAGGCTGGTCACAGCAGGGGTCAAGGAAGAGCCCCCTGCCACAAAACCAAAGCTGAAGCCTGCCCGGGACCCACGTACTCATAGAACTGAACTGAACTTCCAGTCATTGCTGTTTTTCTAGCACAGTCTTTTTTTGAGGTACCATTTCTCAATTGTTTTTCCCACAACCACTCAACTGAGAGATACATTAAAAAGCTTATCATATGCTAGAGCCTCTGACAGATCGGCGGCCTGTCAGCTAGGAAATGGTTTAAGTTGTGATCTGATTACATACTTTTGCATTAGGCCTTTCTGTTAACAGTCATTCTTATTGCACTGATTCTGCTCGGATTAATGTAGGATCTTACTGCACACAAGGTTGGCCCCAGTTCAAAGTAAACTGTCCTGCACATCCTTCTTTGGCTTTTGGCTGCCTTTAGGTTGTCGACTGGCTTGCACGAGACAGCTGGAATAGCAGGAAAAAGACATTTGAAATTGCTGGAGGGATTTCTTTCCTTGATCAAACTGCAGCTGTCATTTAGACCTGATTTGATCTCAGTATGATCCAGACCAACTGAAGACCCAGCCCGGCTTATCTTGATGCATTCTGACTGCAGTGCATTGTGTAAGTATTTACATTTTGCAATTTTTTTCTTCTTTCTTTATCCACACGCACAGTATTAAGAAACAGATTGCTCGTCTTTAGCAGGTGTAAATGGGGTTTAATGCCTGCATTTAGACTCGTCTTTTTAGATCCTGGATATCTCTCTGATGTATCCAAGAAGCAGTTTAATGGAGCTGAATGATGGATGTGTTTTTTAGGTGGTGAGTCTTCTTTTATGGAAAACAAAAAAAAAAAACACTTCACAGATGAGACGGCTCCCCCTCCCTCGCCTCGCCCTCCTTCATGCTCTCCTCCTCTGTCCCTTTTTTTATTCCCTCCATCTCTCTTTCCTTTATGGGAGATTATGTGGCTGTTTGATCTGCGGAGAGACGAATGACAGTGATTCTCCAAATCTAGCCCAGTATCAATCACACTCAGAGTCAAATACCAGCCGTGAGTGAGTAGGTCTGTGTCTGCGCGAGCGTGCATAAATGTGTGTTTGTGTCCGTGCGGGTGTGTATGCGCCCCGTCTTACCCATAACGCCCCTGGGCTCAGTCACGCTGTGACAGAAGGCTTTGATCTTCCAATTCTATCACACACCTTTATCCCAACTCTCTCCCTTCTTGCTCGCTTCCTTATCATCCTCACTCTGCTTTTTTCCCCTCCCCCCTTGTCTCCCAGACCTGTCCCAGATGAACGCACACACACAGACACACACACACACACACACACACACACACACACACCTAGTCTGTTGATTAGTCCCCAAACCTGCCTGATGGGAGCAGTGAGTGGTGAATGAGGAAGAAACAATGTAGCAATAAAAGGCAGAAAGAAAGAGAGAAGAAAATCATCAAATAGAAGAGGAGACAAAGAATGAAAAAAAAAAAGCAAGAAATAAAGCAAAAAACCTAAGAATGAAGCGAGAAAGAAATAAAGAAGCAGGAGAAAATTAGAAAAAAGGAAGGAAGGAAACAACAAAGGCAGGAAAAAAGAAAGTAAGATAAAAATTAAAAAAATAGCAACATAAGGAAAAGTAAGAAAGAAAGAATACAAACTAAAGAGAAGAAAGTGTGAAATAAATAACAAAGAAAAGGAAAAAAGAAAGACCAAAAAATAAAAGAAAGACTAATTGAAAAGATGCAAACAAGAAATAAAACAAAGAAAAAAGATAACTAGAAAGATAGATAACAACCTAAAGAGAAGAAAATTACAAAGAAATTACAAAGAAATGAAAAAATAGAAGCAAGAAGCAAGAAGCAGAAGGAAGAATTAAAGAAATAAAGAGATAGATAGATAAATAGATAACAACCTGAAAATAATAAAATAGAATGAAAGAAAAAAGAAAAAGAAAGAAAGACAAATTACGACCTAAAGAGAAGAAAGAAAGAAAAAGTGAGACATGGTGAGACAGTGGATCCAACCAGAGGGAGGAAAGATAATAAATATCATATCATATATCATATGGATAGAAGAAGAGCTGTAGACTGTGGACAGTCAGAAATAATCGACAACCCTTCAGGCTGGAGTCTCAGTACAGTATCACTAACACAAGGACAGATGCAGGGACATGGATGAGGAGTGTGTGTGTGTGTGTGGAGGAGGTGGGGGGTGTTGAAGCCACATCAAAAGAAGCAAAGTCATGTCAAAGCAAACCTGGAAGTCACATCAAGTCAGTTTTCGTTAATCCATTTCAAAGTCTGTCCTCCAAAGGCAAAAAACAAAAAAACAAAAACAAAAGCCATGACAGCATCCGCCGCGCCGCTGTCGTTCACTCCTGAAAAACACTGCCAAAAGCTGCACACACACACACACACACACACAAGTACAAAAACTACGTCAGGCTTTCAGGCGTCTCCTCCTCAGGTCTGTCTACCCAGAATGCCTGGTGGGCGGGTGGCGCTGTCGACATGTTTGATCTTGGCGAGTTCCCGCCGAGATCCACAAAGCAAGACTCTCCTCCGCTATCCCACAATTCCACTGCTTCCACACTCTTCTCGCCTGGCGGCCCCACAGCCACGGTCTGCCATTAATTATGTGCTCTGCGGGAGCCCGGCACAACTACTAAGTCCTCGGTGCGCTCAGACTCATAAAAAAAGCCCAGAGAACCAAAAAAACCCCCTCCACAACGTGAAGCCACGTGTGCAGCCGCCTTGATGCTGCGCTGGCATTTAGCTTCATAAATGTATGCGTCTAGTCACCAGGAAGCTTAATCTTCTTCCTGTTTACCTGCTGCAAGCCTACGTGAGTGTTAATTCTCCCGTCTTTCCAGCCAAGAACTGAGTCGGCTTTCTTGGTAAATCTCTAATTGAAGTGGTTTTCATAAGCCACTCTAAGCCAGCGCATAATAATTAATCAACAACAAGATTTACAAAATAGGAAAAATGAGAAATCCTTCACAGGGCGCCTGTACAGTTAATGACACAAAGTTGAATTGAACGCAATTTCCCGATGTTTTGATTATTTGCAGTGAAAGTTTGCATGTGCTTTAAGGGGCTTATTATCTGCTTGTAGTGCATCCGCAGTG